GATTCCAATTGGTTGACCTGGAAGCCAATGAGCAAATTGTTCATGAGAGCATCATCATTTAACCTTGCAGGAGGTACTTACTCAGTGATATATGATGCTAATACTAAAGCCTTACACAGAGGGGTGCAGTGAAACGCTCAGATGCTGGAAAAAGGCCACTGCTTTCCATCTTCCCTCTTGCAGGCTAGTTTGTTGGTTTTAATTACCAGTTGCACCAGCAAACCACCCTTGGGCTGGGCCAGCTCTTCCTGCACAGTTCTCCTCCCAGTGCTCAGAACTGCCTTTGATTGTCCATCGGAGCAATGTAGTGGGGACTGTCCTGCCCGCCAGTGAATCACCAGCCTCAGGATGTTTATTTCTGAGCCCTCAGAGCACTCTGCTTAGCATGTGATTGGATGTGCTTTGTTTCTAAGTGTGCTTTCTTTATGTTTTATAACCAGCCCGAGGATGGAGAAAGCCACTGTTGTTATGGCTATGTCAGGGTTTCTTCTTGGCAGCAAGACTCTGCAGCCTTGTCTGTAGTGAAAACTCTGTTCCATTAACATTGATGACCTGGGCTGAGTCTGGTAAGATTTCTGCTCTGCCCTGTTGAATGCCTTCTGGAGTGAGTCTCGGAAAGCTAAAAAATAATTCATTAATAACCAAGGGAGGAGATGGAGGGGAGTGAGTCAAGATTCTTGTCTTTGAAGCAAATTGTGAAGCCTGCAAACTTGCTCCTCTGGTCATGGGTTGGACAAGGGACTGAGCCCACTCGCACTTGTTTCCTTTCCCCCTGAAAACTGAGAGGTAGCTTAGCTCTCTTGCATTGTGGGACAAGCTACCTCAGATACCTCTATCCTATTGCAACACAGGAGCATGCATGTAGGCAGCTACAGCCAAGCAGCCATATGTCTTCCTTGCACCCTCATTTAGCTCAAAGGAGTGTGTCTGTACTCTGAGAAACAGGGCCAGGAAGAGAGTGTATTTAGCAGTAGGCTTCCTGCTTTTCCCAGATTTGCTGCTGGATCCATCCTAACTGTAAATGGAGAAGTTTCTTGCTTTTATTCCCTGCCTAACCAGGACCAGCTGCGGCCTGCATTGTCACGGCTTGGCAGCTGCAAATTGCATGTAACAAAAGGCAGCAGAGGTGGAATTCAATGTTCGCCTTCAGGATGAAGAGGAGGATGTAAATCTGTCCTGGCTACCCCTTCACCTGGCCCTTGGCCAGCACACACAAAGTGTTCACACTGTCACTGCCCTGACTGGCCTGTTTACTTTGCCAGCCTCCAGACCCAAACTAAAAAATCAATGGCAGCTCACCCACCTTCTGTTGCTCCGTTTTTCTCTCTTCTGACACAGATTTTGTGGCTTCCCTAATGTTGCATCTATGTAATCTTTTCATTTCCCTGACAAGGCACAGCTCAGTCCCACCCACCCCACCAAGTCCTCTGAACTTCCACTTTCTCTGCAAGCCGCTGTCTGTCACAGCAGATCATGTCTGCCACCCCCTTGCTGCATCCCACGTCTGTCCTGGGGGAGCAGGGCTGATTCATTCATACAGAAGGGAAACCTCCTCTCAAAAGCATTGCTATTGAGAAGCACTAACAGTGCACATACCTTCTTTGAATTTTGTGTGCAGGGAAATATCCTGGAGGACCGCTGTCAGGGATGGAAGCTTTATCAGGAGGGGGCAGCCTACAAAGGTCAATTCAGTGGCTCTGAGTTGTCTTTTGTGGAAAAGGAGAGGGAAAACTGATGATAATCCCCTTGTTCTGATGCCAAAGTTACATTGCAGTATGATGAGGAAAGATCCTGTTACCCTTCTCGAATTTGACTGAGGTGCTTAGCTTGAGGGTAAAAACTTGTTATAGTGTAGCTGTTGCAAAGAGAATGCGCTGTACAAAACCTGCTCCCTTATTTTAGCGAAGAAATTCCCCCTTTAGGTAAGTGTCGCATGTGCAGTTCAGGTACCTCCTTATGCCTCCCCTCCCCAAATCTGCTACAGGTCCTCCTGGCTTGTTTACCAGCCAGGCCCCTGGCTTGCACATGAGGCTGGAGCAGTTGCCTACAGCATGGAACATTTTGGGGAGGCGGGAGGCAGAGTTTACCAGCTTCACCCCCTGCACTATCCAGACTCCCACTAAGGAGGCTGGCATGCAAATCAAGCAAGTACTTTCTTTTCCTTTTCTGACCTAGTTCCTGTCGAAGGCATCGCAGCAGAGCACGACTCCCTCATGTGGGGACTCACCACCCCATGCAGTATGCTTGCTATAAACCTGAGAGCTTGATTGCAGTTCCTATTGGCAGGTGCTGGATACTCAGCCTGCTGGGATGAAGAACGGACCCTTGCAGCTGAAGGATAGATGCCTCAGGGATTCCCGAGGGAAGCTGCTTCCTGCAGGGGTGCTCCAGGAGGTGCCTGTCAATGGGATCATCTGTGGTGCTGCACGCTGTCCCATGGGACTGTGCCAGGAAGGGGTAGGGAGCAGCCAACCGATCCATGCAGTGTAAAGATCTGCACTGATCAGCATTCAGAATAGCAGATTGAGGTGCTCTCGCCCTCTCCTCCACCTGGTTTTTGAGACCACATACATGCTTGGAAATCGTTAGCAGCCGGAAGGGAGAGGTGTTTGCTCAACAGCAGACTGCTCTCTGATTCTTTTTCTGTAACAAGCTATCGATGGCAGCTGTTTTCTGATAGGAGCCACCAGTTTGGTTGTGGGACAGGCTGCTTGGTACAGTGTGACAATGCTGGGCTGAAGGAGCCTCGCTCAGCACTGCAGCGGGGATGGCATGTTTGTTCAGTGTTGCTCCTTAGGTGAGAAGAGAGCCTTCTGGCCCCTGGTGTTCTCATCTTAACACTTTCAGGTGTGCTACCTGCTTCCCAGGTGTGGGAAGTTGCTTATGGAATTAACAGTGGCTTTCTTGTAACCTTCCTGCTCTAGAATGAATGCATGTGAACAGTGGCTGAGATCTTCCAGCAGTTCTCTCTAGTGAGAAATACCGTATTTTCATACAGTGCTGGGACGTGTCTGCTTGCCTGTATCAAACCGTAGCATCCACAGTCACTCTGCTATGGACACATGTGTGTGCCTTGAAACATACTGGTTCCTATGCATAAACCATACAGTACAGCCCTGTCAGCTTAATCCTTGCCAGCTTTTTTTTGCTTTCCCTGCATCCTTTTTCTGTGGATTTTCTGGAGTCAATGGTGGTATTTCTCACACAACCTTAAGGTGCTGCTTACTCAGCAAGGCCTTGGGTTAAGTAACTTTTTCCTTTCCTGGGTCTCCTATCTGTGACTCTGAACTGACAGCAGCAAGTCTTACTGCTGGGGGAAAGCTCATCATAAGTCTAGAACGGGTGATGATAGGTGTGAAGGAAAGCTAAGGCGACTGCAGCTTCCTCCTTTTGTCAGTAAGCATCCTGTTCCATCCTCTCGCGTGGATCCAGTGCAGTGCTGGCATCTCCGAGGCACAGTTGCTACGTGGTGCTGTGGTTTGTCTGGCTGCAGCCCTGCCACAGGGGGGTTCCTGTAACAGACAGCATTTTCCATTCACAACAGGGCATACATCCTGGATGTCTTAATAGTTTTGTTACAAATCCCTGTAAGAATCCATGAGCTAGAAGCAGTTGATTGCGCGCTCTCACTTTCTGTATCGGGAACTGATTCCAGTAGCTGCAATAAGAGTCAAATACATGTTTTATCTTCAGTAGCCCCACAAATTAAAGGGGAATGAGGTTAAATTAGTTAATGGAATATTAGCAGTTCCCATGCAGAGCCAAGAGTTGATAAATGTCTGAGATCTGACTCTTCCTCAGACATGTTCTGCCAAAGTAATTAATAAAACAAGTTGTTAAATATCAGCTGTGTTTTCCAGTGCCCAGACCTTTTGCCTGAGCCTCTCACAAATTTGGGCTTCCCCTTTTCTTTTTTTGGAAACTTGTCTCAATGGGCCTACCTTTTATGCTGCCTTTATCCAGCCTCCTCATTCTATCATCAGGACAAACATTGGGTTCTGCGCAGGCAGTGTCTCTGCAAACATGTTTCTTGGTACCAGAATCCCTCTGCAGTCCTATGTAAGCTGGTTTAGCCCTTGCTCAAGCTCAGAGGCCTGCTTTGAGTTAGCTGAGAGGGCTGACATTTCACTTCTAGGCAATCGGTTTGGAATTAACAATTTGATGAATGGATATGTGACATGTTCATTGCTCTTGTTTAAGACTGTCAGCAGACTGAGGCACATGTTGCTGCCCTGTCTAGATTCTGCTCTAATTCAGAGGTGGTTTCAGGGGTTCTGTGGGCTGCCTGTGTTCTTGCTAATCAAAAGAAAGCAATTAAATGCAACTTTGTCAGGAAGCATTATTTTTTTTATCTTAATCTGTAATTTGACTGGTATCGTTTGACTCCCACTTTTCCTGAAGTATCTAACCATAGGCAGCTAGAGAGAAGATACCAGGGGTTACCTTATTTCACAGGAAGAAGCGGAGCAATGTCTTGGGTGCGAGGCTGTTTTCTCACTGAAGATTTGACTGATTGCAAGAAGGACTGGGCTGGGATTTGGGGAAAATATGCACATTTTTTGTTGTTGTTTGTTCTGGGGCAGAGCACGCCTCCTCTGGTTGGTTGAGTTTATTTCACCTACTGAATTCCTTGCCTCTGGATGTTTGCTAGCATTAGGACTACCCTCAGTCTCTCCCTTGCATCAAAGCAGTTAGAGGGCAGAGTGCCTGCACTGGGGACCTCTGTATATCTCAGAGGCTTTGTTCAGCCCTGCTAGTGTCTCCAGAGTCCTGGTGAGAATCATGGAGCTCCTGCAAGGTCCCCTCAAGCCAGGTGCTGCAAGGGGCTGCATCCAAGGGGATGAGTGGGTGGGCTGTCATTGGAGTGCTTGGTTTGGGGTCTTTGTACACAAGATGAGTTACAAGGAAGTTACAACCTATATGTGCAAGAGTTTGTGTTCCAGATAGAAACTCTCTCCACCCTGACTCCCTTCTACCCATTCTGTCACTTCTTCTGGCAGGTGCTTATTGCTACATTGTAGGGCTCTGAAGATGTCAAACAGCAACACAGCACAGGAGTCTCTGGAAATAATGAAGGAGTCTGAAAAAAAGGTGGTTGAGGAATCTGTGAACAAAACCAAATATGTATCCAGGTCACCAAGCAAGGAGGAGGTGGAGAAGGATGGGGGGGAGGAGGTCAGCGTGCGCCAGGAATCTCAGGTAAGCAGGCAGACAAGTAGATAGGCCCTTCTGCCAGCTTGCGGAGCTGGGCCTTCTCCTTCTACTTGGCAAACACAAGCTATTTGCTATCCCTTCTGAGAGGGGCCTAAGCCTGTGCTAGCACCTCCCAAGGGGATACCATGCCGTACAGACTGTGTTGTTCACAGGCTGCTCTCTTTCTCTTTAGCTGAATCTGTTCCGCTCAGAGTGGAATAATTTAAATATTCTTTGAGCCTGGGAGAAAATGAGACTGGTGTACTCCTGGGGGCACTTGTGCTCAGTCCCCAGGTTCTAGTCCCATGGCTGTTACCTCCCTTTTATTCTTTTCTTTGACCTAAAGATCAGTTAATGACTTAATGTGAAGTGAAGGCATCCCAGGGAAAGCTTGGTTTCAAGAACGGTGCTTGGCCATTGCTTTGCTGCTGTTAAAAATGCCCAAATAGGAAGCGAATGTTTTGGGATTTCACTTCAGCAAGGAAAAAAAAAAAAAATCCACGCAAGCATCATTTGAAGGGTGCTGGGACTCATCCCTGCTGCTCTGCTCTCCTGTCACATGTGCTTTTGGCTTAGTGTTGAGCTTGAAGAAATGCCCACCCTCAACAACCTGCTGAATGCTTCTGCATTTAAAGCTGCTGGCTGGCACCAGATTTGTTGCAGCACTGCGTGGGCAGATACCAGTGTTGCTCAGAAAGAGCCTGACTTTGGTCACTTTATAATGTGGAATGGGGAAAGATTTCTTAGAAGGTAGGGATAACAGATGACTCAGTGTCTCTTAAATCAGAGCAGCAGTGTGTCTCTCTCATGATCCACTGTATTAGAACCCCCTTGTGTCCCAGGAATGGTAGAAGACTTCTAGTTTTCTCACTTAGAAGTGTGTCATGCACCTCTACGTGTATACCGTGCAATCCCACAGTTGTGCTGGTTCTGTCAGAAACAGAGGAACTAGGTCTAATCCATGTGAAGTTTTTTAAGCAGTTTTTGCCCACCTGGGGCCTGACAGGGCAGCCCTCCAGGTCTTCCTATTTGCACATGCTTCCATTACTGTCAGGTAGAGATTTTTTTCAGAGTCATTTTACACACCCAGTGTCGTGCTGCCTTGCATAGCAAATACCATTTACAGTGTACACATTCAGATTAAGCTTCTTGCCTTCTCTTTCCTTTCTCCACAGAGGCGAACTTCGAGTCATGGACATGCCAGAAAAAGAGCCAAGGTATGACCTCTTCTGATGTCCCGTTGTTCTTTTGGCCATTCTGAGCTGAGTCGTGATCCCAACCATAGGATGGTACTCTCAGGTCTTTCCTGTCTCCAGAAGCAACATGCAGTGCATGATGGTTCAGGGCAGTAACTTTCTATGCACTGGAGCATGAGTGCTCCTTTTTAACACACACTTATCCATGAAGGAACTGTTTGCTGTTATTAACTGCCACACCTGTCCTCTCCCCAGAGCCCAAAATGCCAGAAATGAAATTCAGAGGTGTCACTGGAGGGACAGGGCAGTGCACTGGCCTGTTACACCCTCCAGTTAAAAGCCAGGTTTAAGTATAACTGCCTGGTTTCACATAAGACCCTTTTTCTTCAGGGAATACCACGTTTGCTCCCGTAACGATGGCACATGCATGTTAGTGAATCCAAAAATTTTGCTAGTAATAAGCACCAGGACGCCACTGTTCTAGAACATTGCTTGTAGGCAAAATCTTGGGGTAAAAATGCAGCCATTGTGTGATTTATTTTATTTTATTTTATTTTATTTTATTTTATTTTATTTTATTTTATTTTTTCCCCCTACTGAAGCACCTTATCAAAAGTGGCCAAGAATTTTCCAGGCTTGGCAGTTACAGAAACATAACATAATTCAGGAGTCCATCTAGTCCAGCTAGAATTCATTTAGTCCAGCCTCCTACTCAAAACAGGGTCAGCTGTGACGTCTGACTAGGTTGCTCAGGGCTTGATTTTAAAACTGTGATTGAGATGGCGAGGGTGTTGTGTGTCCCCCCCTGCTTTTTTTTTTGTATCTTTCACAAAAGTTCAAACCCAAATGAAGACAGATTCTGCTCTGAGGCATGGAAGAGAGGGGAGATTAGTTAAATTTGTAACAGGGGTTCTGCCTGGGTTTTTTTCTGATGAAAGTAATGAATGAAACAAATGTGCTGCTTATGGTTCTGTTTGGTCTTAAAAGCCAGGACTGTGCAGTACCCAAACAGGCTGTCATTCCCATTCCTGCCCTGCCTGTACCTAGGGCACTTCAGGCCTTTCTCCATATTGTTGATCCTGCCTGGGATCTCATGTGACTGGTTGATATATTTTTTCCTATTGGTTACCCAAGTAAGTCAACTTGCCAAGAGTCCTGAAAGTGCAGGTTTTATTTTAAGCGTTTTTCTCTAAGCACTGCTACATTACCCAAAATGATGAAAGTCATCAGCTCAGACAGGCAAGATGTAAATGGGATGACAGCCTTTTAATTAGGAACAGTAACAATCTTCACATCTTAAAAAACAATAAAATAGTTGGTTTCAGCTATATCCTTTGTTAATGGTTTTAATTCTTGCCAGGTGAGGAGGGGAGGGGCTGGAATTGCTCTTGCTGAAGAGGTCAAAGAGCGCATGAATTAAGGCAGCTAACTTTCTCACCTAAAATTTGGTTTGTTCAAATCCTAATCAAAGACTGAAGGAAGAAAATAACTGATTTGTTCTAGGACTCCAAGCCTTTGTATATTCCTGTTTGCTGCAAGAAGCTTGTTTGGTAGTCCTCCTTTTTAGCAGTTTAATTAACAATAACTGCATGAGTGGCTTGGTAACGCAGCAGCATGAACTTAAGTATGTGCGTTTTGGCTGAGGTGTCTTAACTATACTCTTTCTTTTCCTTCTCCAGTCTAATTCAAAGCTTAAACTGGTCAGGAGTTTGGCTGTATGTGAAGAATCGTCTAGCCCTTTTGTAGATGGGCTGCTGGAGTCCCAGGTAGGCCTAGAATGAGTCGAGCTGTGGAGTGTGGAAGCCCAGAAAATCCACATCTTGCTAGAACTGATGTCCTGTCCTGGGCTTGTGGGTCTGAGTGCCAAGAATTTCCCACAAGAGGCTGCTTTTGAAGGAAGCTGTTATATGAGCACCGCTCGTATGTGTACAGTCACAACCCTTCTCTTATGAGGAATCATCTGCATCAACTCACTGGGCACCCCCAACTACTTAAGTTGTGCAGGCTTAATGCCCCCGAAAATGGAACGGCACTTCGTGTTCACAAAGCCCTTGGGGTTTTGGCCATGGGAAGGAAGTTTTTATGCAAGCCCTTTTCTTGCAGCTCAGGCTGCAGTGACTGAAAGCAGCCAGCTCACAGAGAAGTGATATGCACTGCTCTGCAGAGATGATCCCCATCTGTGGTCACTGTGGGCAGTGACAGAGAAGCTGAATCTTGAAGGTGGGCAGCAGTCAGGGAGGTGCTGAGAACCTGTCTGCCCTGGCGAGAGCACATGGGTTGAGCTTTCTCTGCCCACACAAGCTTTAGAAGCACAGGATGGTGCAGTGTGCGGAGATCTGAGCTGGCTCACTGTAGATCAGGTTGTGGCTAGCTATAGCCCATCTTTGTCGAGCTGACGTAGTACCGCACCATGTAGAGTCACCAGCTTAGGTCTGTGGTGCTAAATCAGAGACTGCTGTGCTACTTTCCATTGACAAGGACAAACTTGGCCTATGCTAGGGCTGAGTGCTGCCCAGACCACCTCACCCTTGTGGTGAATGGGGTATTTGGCCTCTAAGCCTTCCTTGTGTTGAGACCCCCAGCTCCAGAGGCTGGTCTCCTGTCTTATGGTTGGTTCACTTAGAACTGTAGGGTCACTAGGAGGACTTTTAAAGCAACCATAAACACACATCGTGGTGCCACAGAACTGTGCTAGTGTAAAGGCAGAAGGATGGGGAAGGATCAGCTGGCACAAAGGGTGGTGGTTTTATAGTCCATTTTAACTTGAATCTGAGCAGCACATCATCTGACATTGCCTTTGACAATCTCACTGGTGTTTAACATTTCTTCACATGGAGCAGGGGGAATCCTCAGGCCATGCTGGGCAGTTGCAACTCAAGAGAGGACGTGAAAAGAAACATCAGAAGGCCCCATGTGGCACAGGGACCACTCATCACACCACATATGCTTTTTGCTGTGTATTCTGTTTTCTCTTCATGCCCTTTCTCTTTCCAGGTTAGATGGTAGAGTCTTACTGAAACAGTGCAGGACCTACCTCACCTTAGGCACTCCTGAGTCCAAAATGTAGTAGCATTTTATCAGCTTCAAATAGGGAAGCATGTTACTTAGATTCTGAGGTGATCCAGGCAAGGGAGGTTTTCAACAGTGACAAATGTTGTTGAGAGCCCCCTCAGAGCCTGCTGAAGGCTTCTTGTTGTGAGGAGGGTGGGGAGAGAGACTGCTTTGTCTGTTCTGAGAATGGGGCTTCTTATGAAATGTCTCAGATCTGCGACCTGAATCTCCTGCCTTTCTGTGACGCCTTTCTCAGTTGCCAACAGCTCCAGCCATGGCAGTGATTCCAGGGAGTGTGCAAGTGACTCAGACCAGCCTGGTTTGTTTTGTTCCAGGACATCATTCAGTTGCACGTTAGCTGCCCCTCTGACAAGGAAGAGGAAAAGTCCACAAAAGATGGGGCTGAGAAAGAAGAAAAAGACAAGAATAAAGAAAAGGCACCAAGGAAAATGCTGTCTCGAGGTCAGGTGCTCATTTGAACAGGGCAGGTCCTTTCTTACTCGCTTTGAGGATTCTGCTGGCCAGTGGTACAGTTGCTGGAAGCAGAGTGGTTATCTCTGCTGATGACTGTACAGGAACGTGTCGTTTTCATGACATCCTTTCTGAGCAAAGTATGGAGAGGGAGGGGGGAGGGTTTCTCTAGATTATTGGCATGCACCCCAACAGACTTGCAGGCTTCCTGCATAGTTTATAGTGATCTGGTGGCTTTTTAAATGTGCAGATGCAAACCCAATAAGATCCACTGTATAGACTTTTGCTTTCAGTTTAGATTTGATTTTATAAAACCTGCTACAGGTGGCAAGATGTGAGGTTGCAAGGAGGTGAGCTAAGTTTCTGCTGTATGATCCTGCGTGTATGATTTTGGGGCATAGAAATGGCTAAAAAGATACACATTTAATCTAGTGAGCAAATTGCACCTGAAATCCTTGTACAGATGGCAACTCTGCACTGGTGCAGATTGAGTTTCACTTACTGTTTTTTCTGCGATTACTTTTAAATTAAAAAGGGTGTGGGGAGAGGGGAAGAGCAGGGCCAGTGGGGCTTTCCAGTTAAATAGCTTGCGGGATCAAAGGTGCAGAAGTTGCTTGCACAAAAGTATGGTATACTATGCTTGCAGGGGCCTCCTGTAACAGTGTGGAATATCCTGAGTGTACTCTGAGTGGCTGGTTTTAGGGGCAAAGTTTCCTTCCATGAACTGATCTGATCTGCCTCTCTCTGGCATCCTCCTAATGGGGCCTTGTGCTCATAGTGCCTTGTATGTAGCGTACTGATCCTCCTGCTGCTCACAGGGGAAAGGGTATACAGTCCCTATTTTACAGATTGAGAAACTTGACCTAGAGGTTGCATTCAGAGCCTGTGCTAGAAACTGGACTTGAGCCCAGGTGATATGGGTCCCAACCTATGCAGTTCTGTAACAAGGTGGGCTTTTTTTCCTCTCTTCCTGTCGTGAGTAGTTGGTGCTGAGAATGAGGCCGAATTTCCTCTGGCAGCAACGTGGGGACATCATCCTCATGCGTGTAGTGAGACACACACCTCTTCCCTTCAGTCTATTCTATCGCAGTGTTTTGTTAATTTGTTCTGCTGCTGTTGTTTCAGATTCCAGCCAGGAATATACAGACTCCACTGGAATAGATTTGCATGAATTTTTAGTAAATACACTGAAAAAAAACCCACGGTAGGTCCCTAGTCAGTAAAACAACATGCTGATGGAGTGAAGGGAGGGAGTACCTGGCGACCGATGCTTCTTTGATTGACTCTTAAACCCATGGTGTTTGTGTGCATGTGTGTATATGTATGTATGTATTCATGTATGTTGGGAGGAGGGGGATACTGCAGCAACTACAGAAAGTACCTGAAAGTGTGTTTTACTTTTTGGAATTCAGAGATCATTACTGGAAGCTGGGGCAGTGTAGAAACAAAAAGCACAACTGTAATTTTATGTACTGCAGTCAATCAAAACATGCAATTGTGTATTATGAAGAGAGAAAGAGGAAAAAAAAAATTGTTTGAATGCAAGCAGGAAGGAATCTTGATTGCTTTAAAACCCTTCTATAAATGATTGTCAAATACCAACCTCTAAAGCAACTGCTGCTGTGTCAGTAATAAATGTAATCAAGCCAAATGCTGGCGTAGAATAACAAAGCTGGAGTCTCTACCAGTGGAGCTTCCAGCAGAGCAGAGATTCAATATTACCAAAAGCCAAGCACTGTTAGCAAAGCAACAACTTTAAACTGAAAAAAAAATCTGGCAATTAATTTACTTTATATGAAAAAATGTGGAGTTTTTTAGTTCATTCCTGTGGAGGATGTGTGAGGCCTGGTTAATAGTGTTGCTTGCTCCAGGTATTTGTGACTTTTCTCTGTTGTGGGGAGGGGGGTACCAAGCAGCGAAAGCTGTGTTTCACTGCTTCTAAAGGTGGCCTTTTCCTTTTTCTTTTCTTGACAGGGATAGAATGATGCTACTAAAGTTAGAACAGGAGATTCTGGAATTTATTAGTGATAACAAGTAAGTGATCATCAAGTTTGTGTCAAGCAAAAGAGGTTTGTAACTTACAGTTTAGGAACTTGGGCACCCGGGGAAGAAGGGAGTGTCTTTTGGACACGCTGGTTAGGAGGCCTGTTCTTTTGTACATCCTCCATCTCCTTTTGTCCACACACAAGGTTTCTGAGTATCATATTGATTGGGTATCAATTGCTTTAACACCCTATCCACTGTGAAGGAGATTAGTGCCATTGTGCTTCTTTTCCTAGCATAAACTGGGGGCGGAGAAACCAGGGGCAGGATTCACATCCCAGAACATGAGGTGGAATATGTGTCTGCAGCAGAGCTTGCAAACTTCTTTATCTAATAGGATCAGAGAAGTCGCAGTATAAGTACTAATTCTGGCTCCTGTTCCTGCTTAGAAACAAATGTGCATTTCTGCACAAGCTGGTCTTGTTTCAGGAAAGGCCTATTCAACTTGAGCTCTTGAATCAGCCCAACTCTGTCTGACAAAGCAGTGTAAGCCCATGCTCATGGTCAGTGTAAGAGGCAGCACTTGAGTCATGACTTAACTGCGTAGAATAGGTGGTATGGTCTGACCTGGGATTTGGTTAAGGCTCCTCTGGCCTTGATCTCTCTTTTGTTGTCAGATTATCATTGTCTGTTTCAAGGCCTTCTAAATTCTAATGCTTTCTCCCCTCTTCTCAGCAATCAGTTTAAGAAGTTCCCTCAGATGACCTCATACCATAGGATGCTGCTGCACCGGGTAGCTGCCTACTTCGGCATGGACCATAACGTTGACCAAACCGGGAAGGCGGTCATAATCAACAAGACCAGTAACACACGAATGTAAGGGGGAGGGAAAGAGAATAACTGGGCTGGCATCCCCTCCCCTTCCTTGCATGGTGCTGCATGACCCCCAGACAAAGAGTCCTGGCATGGTCAAGAGCAGGATGGATTCCACACCACATGTTTTTGCCTCCATAAGAAGGGCAGGTCCCCTCTCTAGAAGAGAAGAATCCCTCGCTTCCAGTCCTAAGCGTATGTATTTGCAAGCCCTTCCTAGCTCTCTTTAGTTCTCAGAGAAGGGGCAGGAGCTCTTGTTGCCATCAGACAGGAGAGATTCAACACAACAAACATCTTTGCACACCCCCTTACTCCCTGCAAGGCAGTGGTTTTATGAAGACAGTTCTATGCCTATTTTTGCCCTTCTAACAAGGGCTGGTTCTTCCTGCAGCCCTGAGCAGAGGTTCTCTGAGCACATCAAAGATGAGAAGAATGCAGAGTTCCCGCAGAGGTTTATCCTAAAACGAGATGATACCAGCATGGACCGAGATGATAATCAGGTAAGGGTGGCAATGGGGTATCTGCATACTTCGTGAAAGTTAAATGCGACTTTTCCAAGATGAGAACAACTCTAAATTTCTCTTGGGTTTCCTGCAGTTACCTTCTTTAATAGAAGCTTCTACCCCACCCAAGCAGCAGCATCTAGATATATCATGAAAACTTTACAAAATATTGTGGAAATGCATGAAGAATTTGTGTGGATTCTGTGGCGGGTACTTTTCTGTACCCTGAATATCGACTGGTGGCTGGGCCAGGCTTTAAGGTGAAGCCTTTTGCTAAGGTTTCCTTGGAAATGCCCCAGAGCTGAGTGTTGCCAAGCATCTCTCCCACCCCTCCCCAGGGCTTGCAGCGAGTCAAGCTGTGAAGTCATCAGGACCTCGCAGTGCTGCTGGAAGGAAACCATCGGCAAAATGAAACACTTTGAGCTCAGCAGCATTGCCAGTCATCGGAGCTAAAAACCCTCCTGAATCTCTGGCTGCCTTCAGGCTGTCACAGGTGGCACCACACCCATAACACAGAGCTAGCCTTGTTCATCTGTGGCTGTTTTCCCAGCCTGTGTCAGACAGAATCTTGAACATCAAAAACAGGGCAAGAGACAGGAGACCTCTTCACCAGGGATCTCATGCTCTTTGCTCTTATAGTTCCCATCTTAACATCGCCCCAGCATACCACTATCCCTTGCGTTGGGTCATGTTTCTGAACTTCAGTCGTCAGGATGGGGATCTGGTCATTGCAGTCGGTATCAGTTTCTGGTTTCCCCATGGTGGTGCTCTGCAGGTGATGCAGCTGCCCACGAAGCACAGAATCCATGACCGAGCAGGAGTTTGCTGTGTTGGCATATGCTCCAAAGAGTGGCCTTTAACTTTTGACCCCTGGGAAAAGACTGTCTTTCAGAAGTACATGGTGATAGTCCTGATCTGTCCCTTCTGAATCAGACAGAGTTCAGGGAGAGTGGTTGTGCTTGATCCAGGAGGTGGAGTGTACTAAGACCTCCAGGATGTTCATCCCTAGACATAGGTGTCCAGAAGGTAGGTTCAAAGGCAGAGGCTGTGTCATTGCATCCAGGCATCATGCACACACTGCATAATCCACATCCACTTACACTGCTACGTAAAAATATCAGGAGCTGACTGCGCCCCCTGCTCCCATTGGCAACTGCTGACCCGCTGAGATGTGTTTGTCCCTTCAGATCAGACTCCCCTTGCAGGATGGGAGAAGGAGCAAATCTATAGAAGAGCGAGAGGAAGAGTATCAGCGGGTCAGGGAGCGGATATTTGCACGAGAGGTAAGCTTGGATGACTCACTTGCCTGGTACCTTCCTGGAACTTTGTGGCAGAAGGTGACCTTGAGTATGCTAAGAGGTCAGATCTTGTCATTGCCTTTTCTACAAATTTCCCAGTGTTCTTGGTATCTACCATTGAATTCCAGCTCCTAACAGAGATGTCTAAGACATTGAGATAAAGGAGACAACCTCCACTCCCCAGTCTGCTCCTTCCCTAAATTGCCTGTTTCAGGGGGCAATAGACGTGTGGGGACTGACAGAGGAGGCAGTTTTGCTCCTTGCTGCCCAGCAAGATTATAAGCTTATGCAGTGGCATTTCTGGGATGACTAGCAAATCGATGAACCTGAAAGGAGCAGCAGCTGTCTCCCCCAGCTTCTCTCCAGTGCTGCAGCTTCAACCTCCTGACCAAGCAGTGCTGCCCTTGGAGTATCAGGCAGGGCTCTCTGCCTTTACGGGATGAATCTGGGCAGTACATTTATTGTCTTTCTTACGAAGTGTCCAGCCTGGTTATTGCTTCCTTGAGATCTCTGCTCCTTATGTGGAACTCCTCTAAGCTGGAGCTGTGTTCCTTGCTCATGTCTGGCTCAGAGAGGCTGCTGTGCTCTGCTGTGTTGCATACAATCTGCCAGCTGGAGGCAGCTCTCCATGCTGTGTCAATGTGGCAAATGATGGAATCGGGGACGATTCCAAGTGCCCGTCTGTCGTGGATCATGTTCAAAGTCCAGCTCCTTGCCTGCTGCTTTTGTGCATCTTGGGGATGACACCTTTCATTTGTCCTAATGGGAATTGCCATGTGCCTGCCCAAGGAGGATGTTAAGGCAGCCACTGTGCTGAGTCCCTAGTCGAGTCACCAGGCTTCAGCTGATGACTCTCCAGCCAGTTGTGATCATGGACTTGTCTTACATGCACAGGCCCAAGCCATCCAGAAAAGTTAGTAAGCAGCTCTGCCTATAGTCCTAGACTAGAACAGGTGCTGTCCCATGTTAGCACAACACTGGGTGGGCATGTACTTACCCTTGCTCTGTGTTCATGGGCTGAGCCAGTGCTTTGCATCTGACTTCCAGAGGCAGGGGTGACTATCACAGAGTGGGCTGGGCTGGCTTTGAGCCCTCTGCCTTTTTTTCGTGGCTCTGATGATTGTGCCTGCATTTAGCAGATAAGGACCCTTGAATGTCTGGCCTTGATTGTTCCATTGACAAAGCTACCATCAAAGCTGACTTAAAACAATGAAGGAGGGAGTTGAGGACTGAGGACTCAGATTTGCAAACTCTTGAGAGATCTCAGGGTCACAGGTATCAGGAAAGGTTCTTAATGGGCCTGGATGGAGAGCCAAATGGGACTGGTGTGCAGAAGGCTCAGCAAGACTCCTGAGCAACCAAGTAACTGGTGCACAATTCAAACTATGTCGGAGTCCCATACTGTTAGTGCTTTGCTCCTCCTTGCTTTGAAATTGCCTGGGCTTGTTGCTTTCAAAGTTACTAAGTCTCCCTTTTCTTTCCTTCCCGTCTCCATGTCTTTTCCATGCTTCCAGAGTGGCCAGAATGGATATCTCACCGACAGCAGGTTAGTACTATTTAGCAGACAATATTTGTATCTCTGGCTTTCTCTGTGAGGACTGCATGACTCTATAATGATGCTTTTTTCTGATGTTAACCGACAGACTCTCCAAAGAAGGCTTTTCTTCTAGTTCTCACAAACGGAGGCAGATTTTTAGGTACCTCTGTGTGACTTACTTTGTACATTGTCCTGCTGAGTAAGTTTGCCCCATGCATGGCTGCTTGTGAAGTTACTGAAGTTGTATTTTTTGCAACATCAATTTCCAAGTCCTTTTTTGCTGATTCATCGATTAAAATGGAGGGGTGGAAGGTGGGAATGGCAGCGAGGAATGGAGAAGCGGAGGATTCCAGCAGTTTTCAAACCATTCCTCCTCTTGTTTCCCAAAACAATAGGAAAGTCCCTGTCCTTACAGTGACAGGATCAGCATCCAGATAGGGTGGGGTTGTCCCTAATCCCTGATTATAAAGGCTGGATTACTTAATGGTGGCAATGAAATGTCTCAGGCTTCCATTTCAACCGGACTATGCTGCAGAGGGCACTGGGAACATGTCTGAGCAGCGTTTTCTTATAAAGTAGTTTTCCTGTGGATGAAAGGGCTGGAAAGATGGAGTTAGCCTGACAAGTCACCTTGCAGAGACCCCTGCTGCAGGAGGCTGCTGAAGGTATGAGGATAAAGAACAGGATGAAAATGGAAAGACCCTCATGCCTGCTGTCCTCTCGTTTAGTAGCCAAGCTCTAGAGATGAAGCATCTTTGTGTATGAACAGGACAGGAGGATCTAAGCAAGCATAGGGAAAGCTTTGCCCCTCTCCTCAGTCCGTCGCATGGCTCAGGCTGTCCTTGGAGAGACACTGTCGTGGAAAATCAAGTGTCCTTAGCACAGTTACAGGGACTGTGTCCTGGAGTCTGCGCATGGCAGTGGTGTTCAAGGCAGGGGGTATAGTTTTCAGATCAGCCATGGAGCTGCAGGAAAACTCGCCCAGGAAGTGGCAAAAAAACCCATTGCTGGTGTGATTGCAGCTTTAGGAGCTGAACTGCAGCTGTGGCTGCGCTAGGAGCTTTTCTGACTGTTGTGCCCGGTCCCTAAAGAGCTTGGTTAACCTGCTGTCTTTGTTTTGTGGTTCCTATAGTGGGGAGAAGGAGGATGTGTGGGCCTTGGGACCATTTTTGAGCACTGAACAGAGATAGACAAGCTCTTGAAGAGATTGGGGTTCCCTCAGCTATGGTGCTGGAGATGATGTCTCTGAACTCCAGAGACTTACCACCCTCAAAGCCTGGCATTCAGAGCAATGCAGCTGTCTGTTTCACTCACTTGGAAGTCCTGTATTAATGCTGCTGAAGCACAAATCTGATTGCAGAGAGCTCTCTGCTGGTGGATGCACTTGGAAACAGGCTGTAGTAAGGTTAATGGAGAGGAAGGCATGGCTGAAGCTGCTAGGGCAGTGCTCTTGGAGAGCAAGGGTGTGGTAGCGGGCCTGGAGTTTGGAGAGCATTCATAGAAAAAGCAGAACCATTATGCTGCTGGGTTAGCAGAAATCAGCTTGAGAGGGGTCTGGGTTCTCGGGGAACCGGAGTTTGCAGCTGGGTCAGAACAGAGGCCATGATGCGCCCCTTCCCCATACACATCCCCAGGAGCAGCCTTCAGAGTTTAGGTTGGAGAGGGCCCAAGAGCTTGACAGTGGTGCCTGTTAGATCAACTGTAATTTTGGGTTTGAGGCTGCATAGTCCAATTTCTTCATCTCTTTAGGGATATAACCATTGTACTGGTTTTCCAAGAGACGTATTTTTTTTGGTTCTCACATGCTCCCAGCAGCCCAGAATATCACCTCAGAAGTTCCTTCCAAGCCTATCTTGTCCCATCCACAACTGCGTGGAGCTGCTGCCAGGCTCAGCCTGCAGCTTTATATGAGCATCTCTTCCAGTGTTGCCTTCCTCACCATTCCTCCCCAGTGAAGGCCCAGGAACCCATTACTGTGCTTATGATCCTTAGCTGGGCTGATAAACCAGGCTTACTGCTTGGGATGTTTTGCTGACTCCATAAAGCCCTGCTGTGCCCAGACCTGTCCCTGGGGCTAAGGGAGGGTGATCAGTGGGAGCACAGCTCTGAGCATAGCAATATCCCAGGATGTAGCTGTTCGAGCATAGCAATATCCCAGGATGCAGCTGTTCCAGCTGGGCAGAAAGCCTTACTAGGGCTGGTATGGAAAGTGGTCTCGCAAGATCTCGATCAGCCTTGTCTCAAAGCCTCTGTTAAAAGCTTCCTGTTCTGAGACAAGGAGGGCTTTAGCAAGGGATCATGCTCTGGCCCTGCTGGCATCTCTTCCAGGCTGGGATCTAGCTAGGGAAAAGGGCCAGGAGCCAGCTGTCAACATACACCAAGGAAGATCAGCAGTGTCTGGGTCTTCACAGTGCATGCCCAAGAAAGCTGTGACCCAGGGTATTTGTTCGCTGTCAGATCCCTGTACAAAGTGCCAACATGCTGTGTCACAGAGCCAGCTGCTGACTGGGCTCACCACCCCGGTGTGCAGGTCCTGCTGCTGCCCCTTTCCGCTGGAGGTGCGGTCTAACTCCTCTGGTCTCTGCAGGGGCAACCGGGACAGTTTGAACCGGGCCTCAGGCAGCCGCCAGAGCAGCACAGAGAGCGAGATAAAGTCGCTGGAGCCTCGGCCATGGAGCAGCACAGATTCAGATGGCTCCATCCGCAACCTGCGACCACCTGTTACCAAAGCCAGCAGCTTCAGTGGCATCTCCATCCTGACACGGGGGGACAGCATCGGGAGTAGCAAAGGCAGCACTGCCAGCAGAACGTCCCGGGCAGGTACTGTACTGTTTCCCCTGCACACCTTCTGCCAAAGGGCACTTAGCAGACAGTCTTTGGGCTGGGGAGCTGGGGTTCATGATGCTCTGGTCAGGGAATCTGGTTAAAATGGGACATGGGTTGGCATCATCTGAATGTGTTCAGTACCTAGGCTGGGATATGCCAGTTCGTTCATCATCTGCTTTTTCAATACTCGCCACCAGATCTTCCTTCCCTCTAGCAGAGTTATCTCAGACAACGGACATTTTTTAGTCCCATACCCTGGAACTCAAGCTGTCAATTTTCTGTTGTTTTCTCTCCCCTGCTGTGCTGCAAGTTACGTGCCATTCCTTTCTGCTCCCCAGAATCCCTTACAGCCCTAAGGATGCATGGTCAGGGTAAACCACCTGGCACTTTTCCTTCCTTTCCAACAAAGGAGGTCCAGGGAAGGGTGTCACCAATTAGTCTATCTCATCAGACACAGTCTATCTCATCAGACAAAGACTACGTTAATTGGTATCTGCCTACGATGTTCTCTCAAAATGATTCACTGTACTCCTGAGAGCAAACATAACAGCAGGGAGCTGGGCCTGCAGCTCTTCAAGAGCTGTTGAATACAGCTCAAGGTTTCAGGAGCACCAAAGGGAATTAGGATCACAAGTCTCTTTGCCTTCTTCAGATCAGTTCTTCCTTTTCCATCTAGGTAATACAAAGGGTAGCCCATGCACGGAGAATGTTACTGTGGGGCATCGCTGATAATCTGTTACTGACAACAGCTTCCTGAGAGGATGTGTGCTGCACTTGGCAGGGCACCAGCCCTTCTATCAGTGGGGAGCAGAGTCCTTTATTTTCAATGGACTGCTTGTGAAAGGCATTTGTGGAAGAGGCAGCACAGGTCTTTGCTCTCAGTTTAATGGTCCAGTGATAACTAAGGTGCCATATAGTAGCTGGGTACAATTGCTATGCAATATCAATGAGCAAAATCCAGTGTTGTCTCACTGTCTAGCTTCCTCCATTCTCACTGGTAGGCAGCAGGTCACCAAATGCTTGAGAGCTGTCATTTTACTGGGGAGGGGAGGCAGATTGGTGCTTGTGGGTGATTAGACTGCTCCACAAGAATCCTTTCAAATAAAAGGGATGGATCTAAAAGCCAGCCAGGCTGCTGTTCTAGCACCCAGGCTGGCTTTGAAAACTACACATTAATCTTGCAGTTTAAAGGTGGCTACGTCATCTCTTGCGACCCTGTTTCCATTGTGCTCAGGGCTGCGCTTACTTTGATTATTGCAGCCACCTCTGGGACTGATTCATCAACTGATGGGAGTAGTTATTTGAAGATCTGTCCCAGCCATGTGCAAAGCAGAGCAAGCAAGAATCTGCTTTTTTGCTCTTTCTGTATTTTTCCTCCAGGTCTCCCCTGGGAACAGAAGCCAATTGCTCTCCAGGCTTTACATAATGGGGAGTGATTAGAAATGTCTTGGTGGGGGAAGAGCAAAGGAATTTTCACTTGGGGGAAAAAAACCCACCACCCTCCATATCCTCATGTTTATTCTTTGGGGGAGGAAGAACCTAGGACTCTGGGGCTCTTTTCCCATCTCAGCATTCAGCCCCTGCCCAACTGAAATATTTCCTTCTTTGCACCACGTGGCTGATGATACAGACCTCCTTAGCAGAATGCCTGAAGATTCGCTGTTGAAATGCAGTAGATCAGAGGCAGAATTAGTTAAATAGCAGCTACTGGGCATCAAGCAATAGTTTCACAGCCCTTTTATTTCTGGAAGACTGCAATACTGAGGAGAGCACTTCCCAGCTGGGAGCCCTGCAGCATGTATTGCACTCCTTCCTAACAATTTTTCCTAGCATGGGAAGGAATTGCTTTCAGCCTGCCACCCCTAGCCTTTTACTGAAAAGATGTGTGTGTGCTGAGTCTATGTGGCCATAAAATAGGATTCCCTCACTCCCCTCTCTGTTCTGGGCAAGCACTTGAACAAATCATGATGACGTATTAGTGTCAGAGCAGGGGCCTTGCCTAGCTGCAGAACTGAGCTGTGACTGGGAACAGCTCTCCAGCTTCTTTCCACAGACTGGTTTATGGTACTGAGCTGACATGAGTGTATCTGGCAGCTCCCTCTTTTTGTAATCTCTGCCTCATGCTGGGGTAGAGAGCCCTCCACCAGGCAGGTGCTGCTGTTAACAGCCAGATTGCTCTTCCCAGCAGAAGGACCATGGCATTTATAGAAGGCCCTGACTTGTGCCTGCTGCTTTCCAGACAAGACAGAGGGCACATCCCTCCAAAGAATCAGTTGCAAAGGTTTACACAAACAGCAGCTACCTGAGAGCTGTGGGTGGGGACCACTGTGTAGGCTGTCCACTAGGAGTGAGGGTGCTAGCTTAGGGTCAGGGAAGAGAGCACGCTCTTGACAATAACAGCTGTACAACTTGTGGCCATAGTCTGGAACAAGAATTGCATCCCGGTCTTCCCTGTGTGGGGCAGGGCATGCATGGGTCAGGGGGAGAAGAAGGTGCCGTGACCCAGCTGTGGAGGGTCAGTGCGTGTACATGGACATGGAGAGGAGAGAGGTACAATCACCTGGAGTCCTGAGGGTGTCAGCACCTTGGTTTGCTGTGAAGCAGAGGCAGGCTTGTGCCTTAGCCTGCAGCCTGCTCACCCTGTCCCCGGTGGAAGCTCCCATGTGGACAGCAGAGAATGCAGTCTGCCTGCAGTATAGGAGGTAGTGACAGGATCTACCCTCCCCGCCCTCCCCATCAACGAATTGATGTTTTTCTCTCCCAGGTTCCAACCCTGCCATGCCTTTCTCTGTTCAAGGTTTGGTACTAGGCACCCCTGAAGCATGCAGCCAATCCCCTTCCTCACAGCCCAGCCGTGGCCTCCTACCCTGCACAACCCAGCAGCCTCAACCACAGCCACCCCAACAGCCACCACCACAGCCCCAAGGACTTCCACCTGCAGCCCAGCAGCAGCCAGCTATGATATCCCAGGTGAGTGGCTGCACAGTATCCAGGGCTCAGTAAGCTCCTTGTGCTCATGGGTGGGACATAGAAACAGAGCCAGCATACACTCAGGGTGCTCTGGACTCACACTTTGCCCGGTGGGTTTTGGGTGTCCTCGCATTTGCTGCCTGTTAGGGAGTGACAGTCCCTCTGCGCTATTGGCAGAGAGCAGGAGAAGGTTGGGGGCCATGCTGTGCCTGAATATGATGCTCTGTGACATCTCAACTTGCCAGCCTCTCTGTATCTGCTCAAGCCAGCAGCCCTCCTGGCAAGGGATCTGTAGCCCTTTGCTGAGTGGCAGGGTTATGTTCTAGAACCAGTTGCCCTCATGGTGAGGGACTGTCACAAATGGTAGTTGGGTTTGAGCTCCCCAGTGCTGAAATCCCATGGCTGGTCACCTGATGTCCTGGGGAGAGGCAGACCTGGAACTGTGCCTGGGTGTATTCTCCAGGCCCTCCCTGAGTTAAACCCAAGTGATGTTCCACAGCCTGCAGGGCTATTTCTGAGGATGGAGCCCTCTGGAAAGCACTTTGTGGCTGTCATTCCTACATACTTTGTTCTGCTCCTGAGGCTGTAAAAAAACAGCACAAGAGCTGCCCCTGCATCACTGCAGGACTGGTGAAGGGGTGGGAGCCAACCCTGGTGGGCAGTTTCGGAGAGCAAAGCTGCCTGCTGTTCAGTGGGTGCAGAGCTGGGCGGTATGCATGGGAAGTATCCTCAGTACCTTCCCGTCTTGCCCTATTCAGAGCAGCATGTCAGTGGTGGACCTCAGCCTGCCTACGAGCTTTACAGGGATCCTTTCTGGTGCATCATCTCGTACTTACCATGTCTCCTACAGCAAAGAACTGCAAGTTACACTGGAGGTTTTCAAGATGCAACTGGATGGGGAGGGTGCTAGATAATCTTATCTAGGCTCCCTTTCCCATGAAAGGTTGGACCAGATGATCTTCTGAGGTCCCTTCCAACCTTGGCTGTTTCATGATTCTAAGTGTTTTCAGTGGGCTGGGATGGGAGGAGGAAACAAGCCTCCTTGAATAGCTCTTACTGCAGATAACATGAACAGCTCCTTAGTGTCTGTTGCTGTCTGTATGAGGATGGAGGGAGCTTGCAGTTCTTGGGCCCTGGACTGGCTCCAGGGTTCTGGATCTGTTTGCAGAGGATGCTGAGACTCAAGGGAAGCATCTCAGTTCTACAGATGAGGTGCCTTCCTGAGGTAGCCAGGGTCCAGTGCTAACACTAGCAGGAGTGTCTGTCTGGAGCAGTAGCATGGCATGGGACAGAGCACAGTGCCCTGGGTGGGAGGTTTGAACGCACAGCAGGCTTCTGGAGCTTGTGCAGGATCACTGGGTCTTGCTGGGGTTTTTATTTTGTATCTTCTACTGTTTGGCTGTTCTAGTGGTTTAGGTCCTGGAAAAACTTTTTTCATGTGTTTGACTGTTGGTGAAAGGTCTGAAAATGCACTGTCCCCCATGTGCATGCACCTTCTGTTTCACCAAAGGTCAAATCAAATGTTCAAAAAAACAATTCAGTGCTGACCATTACAGGTTTGGTGCCCAAAGCATAGTGTGTGGTGCCTGAGTTAGGTGTTGTCATAAACAGGCATTAGCAGGTCCTCCCAGTGACAAAGTGAGAGGGGCCCCTACAGAAGGCAAGAGTGAAGAAAAGCCGTTACCAGCAGGAAAGGCCAGGAAGCACTGCAGAGGGAGCTGGGAGTCAGTGCCACACACAAGTGGGCAGTGGAGTGGGAGAGACACAATGGTTGTGCTGGGGGGGAAGTGGCTCTCCTGCTGCTGTTGGCCGTAGCTGGCCTTTGCGATCTTGTGTCACCATTCCACTGTTCATGCCAGGCAAGAGCTGCTTTGCGGACATGGTCAGCCTTCCTAGCTTCCACAAAGCAACTGGCCAGGTTGTGTGTCTTCACAGAGAGATCAATGCTCCCCCATTATAGTCTCCATGCTTTCCAACCCTCTGCAATGCCCCCCTCTGTGTGTTTGCAATTGGCTCAATTGACTAACCTTGTTGTTCCTTCTTTCTCTCCTTCCTCCTATCCTTCCTCCCCCCCCCTCCATTCCTTTTCCTACCCGAATCTCTCTCCTCCACTCCCTTCTCTGCTGGTCTTAGCCGGTCCCAGCGCTGCAGCCTGTTCAGTATTCTCCAAGCTCCTGCCCCCAAGTCCTCTTGCCAGTCTCTCCACCCCAGCAGTACAACTTGGTATAAACCCCATTTCCTCTTCTGCACTGTCTCTGTTGTACTCATGTGCTGTGTTTGTGTTGTATGAGCTTTTGCTAATCAGGTATGTCGTGGACACTGCACCCAGTGGGTTTGGGATTTATGGAGGCTCTGCGCTGCAGTGGGGTCAAGGCAGTGGGATGCCTGAGGCTGTGGGACCCACCAGGTCCGGGCACTGCTGGAGTGGCTGATCTTGGAAAGACCCCGGGGAATAGCAAGTGCTAAGCCCAGAGCTCCACCAGGAAGCAACACTTGTGTCCAGCACTGGAGTCCAGGGGCCATGGCTGCCCTGTGGTCTCAGTCAGCTCCTGTGTTGTCTCTGCCGGGTCTTTCAGGAATGGCACGCCCCATGGGACATGGTCTCTGGGCTGGGGCAACCCCTGCCTGTGTGGGGCCCCACATGTCACCAGTGTCCACTGAGCATTCAGGCCCCCCCCAGCAGCTCGCATGCCCCTACCCCCTGTCCTGCAGAATGCTCTTGGTCTCTGGCTCATTTCTGGGGACCTTTCTTGGGTGAACTCCTCCACACAGAGTAGGGAGAAGGGCTCTGCAATCTACTTGGCAGAGCTATGTCCTACATGCTGTTGTCCTACATGCTGTCCTCCTCCATCCTTCCCACTTATCCCCAATGCAGGCCGATGAACTCAGCAACCCCTTTGGGCAGATCAGCCTCAGCCGACAGGGCTCTACGGAAGCAACGGATCCTTCCTCGGCTATGTTCCAGTCATCCCTCATCTCCCAGCATCCTCAGCAGACAGGATTCATCATGGCAACCCCTGGGCAGCCCATTCCCACCTCCAACTATTCCGCCTCAGGGCACACGGCCCCCACACAGCAGGTGCTGCAGCCCCAGGGCTACATTCAGCCTCCCCAGCAAGTAAGGACATGTGCAAGCCTGGAGGGGATGTGCACCTCGGCCCAAAGCTGTCAGGCAAGGGGCTGCTGGGGAGCAATCCAGAGAACAGTTCCTTGAGAGTGGTTCCCCTCTTTTTCTGCTGCTTATTTGTGATGGATCAATACACGGGGTCCAAGCTCCAGGTCGGCACGCACCCTTGCTAGGCATAGCGTAATCTCTGCCCCCTTGTCCCTCTGAGCTCACAGGGCACTTATCTGGGGATCCCTCTGGCAATTCCTGCCTCATAGTGTTGGGGGAGGGACAGTGACCAGATTCAGGGCTGACACCTCTAAGCTGTCTTCGGGGTCCTGCAGGGCTTTATGACCTCTAGGATTGATCCCCTGAGCTGTGATGAGAATTGTGCCTACTGTGCTTTTGCACTACTGTGCTGGGAAGGGCTTGGATGTGGAGGCTGGGAGGAGTGGGAAGGGTCTGCGGTTCCCTGAGGAGCTATCATCTGGCCAGAGCCAAAACCCTGGTCGGTTTCCTTCGGCAGAAACCAGGCCAGGTGAGAGAGAAAACTGGTCCTGGGGGACCAGCTTTCTTGGTCCCACTCCTTCTTGTGTTCTCATCACCATGTTTTCTTGATTCTGATAGATTCAGGTTTCTTACTACCCTCCTGGGCAGTACCCGAACTCCAGCCAGCAATACCGATCTCTCAGTCACCCAGTGGCCTACAGCTCCCAGCGCACTCAGCAGCTCCCCCAGCAGTCCCAGCAGCCTGGTAAGGGGGTGTAGAAGGGGGGAGGGGGCATGTTTCCCTTCCCTGCCACTCTTGTTGGCTCTTAAGGATCTCCCCTGTGTTGTTTGGGGCCAGGCTGCTCTTCCCTGTCTCCCACTCTTTGCTGGACTTGCAGACTATAGAGTGCCTCTTGACTGTGCAAAGGAAAGTTGCAACTCGGCCTGGCTGCAAAGGCTGTTTTAGTCTTTTCCCTCCCTCTCAGCATGTAGCATGCACTGAGGTGCTGCAAGGTGGATTTAAAGCCAGGAGCTTCCTTCAGGTCTTTTTACATCTGCCATAAGGAAAGCCTTTTCTCACTCTTTAGCAAGAGGTGGGGGCAAAGCAGGATTTGAGCCCTTATATGCCAAATCTCAGGCTGTGGCCAGCTGGGAAGCTGCTCCATTTAAGCCATGTTCTGACAGGTTTACAGCCAATGATGTCCAACCAGCAGCAAACATACCAAGGTGTAATGGGAGTGCAGCAGGCGCAGCCCCCTGGGCTCCTCAACAGCCAGAGGAACAGCATGGGGGGCCAGATGCAGAGTATGATGGGAGTGCAGCAGGCGCAGCCCCCTGGCCTTCTCAGCAGCCAGAGGAGCAGTATGGGGAGCCAGATGCAAGGCCTGATGGTCCAGTACACTCCACTGCCTTCGTACCAGGTAGGCATTGGTTGCTTTTCAACGAGGGGCTGCTGGGGAGGTGGCCTCAGCTTGTACAGGCCTTGCAGGAAGACCCTGTTCTTGTGTCTGAGTGATGGGGCTAAAGGTGGAGACTTACGCTGAGAAAGTAGTGCATGCTTGCTAGCTTGGGGAGGGCACATCCACATTTGAATCTGTGTGGGACATGTCTTGAGAAGGAGGGCTGGGAGGCCTGCCCTTGCCTGGGCAAGATTGCTCTGGGATGCAGTAGACAACCATCTGGCATCTCTTCTACCTTGTACGGGCCTTGCTGGTGTCTCTCTGGGGCCAGTTCTCCCTGCTCCTGCTCTGTGTTACTGTCATTCCATAGGGCTGTTTCTTTCCTCCCTGCACAGGTTCCCGTGGCCAATGAGTCCCAGAGTGTGGTCCAGCAGCCCTTCCAGCAGCCAGTGCTTGTACCAGCCAGCCAGTCTGTTCAAGGGGGGCTTCAGACTGGAGGGGTACCCATCTACTACAGCGTCATCCCAACTGCCCAGCAGAACGGCACCAGGTAAAGCCTGTGTATCTCTGACCTGCGTTGGGGAGAAAGGGGTCCCACTGCCCTACTGAAAGGGCATAGCATCCTACTCATGCAGCTAGAGGAGGTGGCTGGGCACCATAGATGCTGGTCATCTCTTGAGCTTGTCCAGTCCTAGCTGCCGTGGTCAGCGCTTCCTGGACACAGCTGTCCTGCAGCGTGCAGTGCTTCCTGTGCTTCTCCAGAGGCAGCTGTGTTTCCAGCCATCTCAAGTACTGAGGGAGCTGGTGGTTGCCTGCACAGACGGGCAGGCTGTTTCTCCCCATCCCCAGCACCTCACCAGAGCACTCTCTGCTTCACAGCCCTTCGGTGGGGTTCCTTCAGCCGCCCGGCTCTGAACAGTATCAGATGCCACAGTCTCCATCACCCTGCAGCCCGCCACAGATGCAGCAGCAGTATTCAGGTAAGAGGGGCCACCGGTCAGGGCTGCCACTGATTCTGCACAGATTGGATCAGGTTTTGTAGGGGCTGCGGCGAACGGAGCTGCCAATTCACAGCCAAGTCTGGCAGCTTCTGTGCAATGGGTTTGCTTAGTCTGACCCATCCCACGGCCTACTGGGAATTATCAGGGTGTGGCACAGTGATTTTGCTCCCCTGGTATCTCCTTGCCATGGTGGGCAGGCAGGGTAGGAGCAGGCAGAGGGAGCTGCCGTGGGCTGCGGACTCCCTCTGCTGGCAACGCGGCTTAGTGTCACCGGGGCAGCTCACGGGACTGGGGAGCACCGTGGGCGAGAAGAGCATCGGGATTCCTGCATCCCGTCCCAGCTGCAGGGAAGTGAGCTGGGGCCTGGTAAGTTGGTGCAAGAACTGGAACCGGGATACTCGAGCTCTGCGCCTAGCTCTGTGATTACACCCTTTGCCTGAAGTTTTGCTGTGATGCTCAGAGAGGTCACCCGAGTCACCTTCAACTTGTCCCCTCTGCTCACATTTCTCCTGGATTAAAAGTCATCACTCTCTGATGTAAGCTGTGATATCAGAGAGGGATCCCGACTGGGTCTTGGTGGGGCCTTTCTTCAGTCCACCTGGGCAGGCAGGAGCGGCAGAGGAGAGAGTACAGAGGGGGTGTTATAGGGAAGAGTGAAAGTTGCACAGACAGGCAGGCTGCCTCTTGTCCCACAGCAAGCAGCAGCAGTGCACAGAGCCCGGGCAATATTGCTGCTGTCATCTCTCCCCAGGGGTGTCTCCATCAGGCCCTGGTGTGGTTGTGATGCAGCTGAATGTACCCAATGGCCCCCAGGCCCCCCAGAATCCCCCTGTGGTGCAGTGGAGCCACTGTAAGTACTACAGCCTGGACCAGCGGGGGCAGAAGCCAGGAGACCTGTACAACCCAGACACCAGTGCTCAGGTATTGAGAGGACTGGGAAGAAGGCGGCTCATCTTTTGAGAGCAGCCTGGCGGGAGAGAGAGGACCCCAGCATATGTGCTGTCTGGATGGGCTGGGAGGTGGGAATGGGGTCTTCCCATGGTAGTGAGACAGGCGTGGGACAGGTCACAAGCACTGGGTCTGTCTAACGCTCTCCCTCCCCTAGGCCAGCACCCAGCTGAACAGCCCCATCACGTCCCCCACCCAATCCCCGACGCCGTCTCCTGTCACCAACCTCAACAGTGTCTGCACGGGGCTGAGCCCCCTCCCTGTCCTCACACAGTTCCCCCGGCCCATGGGCCCGGCACAAGGTAAGAGGAAGGAGTGGGGACAGCACAGGTCTGGGTCTTTCCTGAGATTTCTTCAGACCTCTTCAAGCATTTGCTTCCTTTTTGCAGGCGATGGGCGCTACTCATTGCTGGGCCAGCCGCTGCAGTATAATCTGTCTATCTGTCCCCCACCACTGCTCCACAGCCAGCCCAACTACAATGCACACCAGGTAAAATTGGGCCAAACCCCCATCCACCCACACTTTCACTGTTCTAGGAGCAGAGCAAGACCGTCCCCCTTCTCTCCCCCCAGACGACCCCTCTCTGGGCAGGGCCCAGGAGTAGTTAAGAAGTGAGTTTCACACTCTGCTCTGTGCTGGGACACCCCTTGATTAGATAGCAGGCTGCCTATCCCACGCTCTCGCTATTCATCTGGCAGAACTGCTGTTGTAAGTGGATTTCCCTAGAGTCTGGCACTGGGCTAAAACTTCATCCTGCTCCCAGCTTTGCCCAGAAGCAGTGTCAGCCCCAAGTCCTTTGAGTGTCCTGGGACCATGGCTGCGCCTTGATCTCATCTAACTTACCCAAGCATGGTGTCACCTCAAAGGTGTCAAGGGGGTGTGAGGTTCATCCAGGTGTTTTCATTCCCCTTCACAGCCATGGCCTCGTCAAGTTTGGTCTTCGCCCCAACTCCCAGGATGCTCTATGGGCACTATGAGGCCACCGTGTCTCCTCAGGTGACACACTGCCATTTTTATTCTTTAAGGGGCAGACTGGAATGAAACATGGAAACCGGAGCAAGAGACAGGCCCTCAAGTCAGCATCCACTGACCTTGGGACAAGTGATGTAGGCAAGTGACCCTCCTCAAGCAGTTCCCCCTTTGTCCTCTGACTAGTGCCCACTGCATGGGCATGGCTGGCATTGGCAGAGACTCCAGATGCCATCTCTGCCCACACCAGCATCCCACAGAACCCATTGCTGGGGGTGGTTGTGGAGAGCAGTTCCTGCCTGCCACCACCTCCTCCACACACACAAACACAGACCCCCTGCAGCCCACATGAGGCCTGGCTTGGGGGTGGGTGCAGCAGAGCTAGTCCCAGTCAGCTGTGCCCATTGGGAAGTAGGAGGACAGGGGTTGCTCGGGAACCCAGTAAACACTGCCTGCACTAAGCAAAGCTTTTAAGGAAGAGTGGGAAGAAATTGTTGGGAGAGTCGGTGATGAGTACCAGGACACCTGGGCTCTATTCCTGCCTCTATGGGGGGTGAAATGATGGAGCGGGTGGAGCTGGCAGAACTTCTGGGATTTTATTCCTCTTTGTCAGCAGAAAGTGAGTGTCCAGACCCCTGAGATCCTGTTCCCACCGTTGCCCTCCCAAGTGACCCTTCCCTCTCATGCTTCCATTTCCCAGCGAGGCCAGGAGCTGCAGAGCCCTCATCTTTATAAAGGGCTTTGGGATCTTCCAGGGGTGCCTGTGAGGGCTGAAATCCCCAGTGGATCATTTCTCTCCAAAGGGGAAGGGACTCTCTGTACCTCGTCCTGGGGGGTCGCCACTTGGTCATGAGGGAGGGAAGGAGAGGCACATCTCTGGCTTGTCCCCACAGCAATACAAGATTGGCTAGTTGGGTATGAGCCAGACAGCCTGGAAGGGAAGCAGTCTTCACTGGCTCTCTGGAGGCTTCAGACTTGTCCCCCATGTCATCTCCATGTCACCACCAATAACAGCAGCTGGTTGCAGGGGGCCCTTTAAGAGCTGCTTGCTGGAGAGCTGCCCCCTTCCCTGCAGCTGGCATGTTTATTACATGCCACGTTAATATTAGCAAAGAATCCATTCAGCCAGTCCTCTGCTAAGCCCAAAACCCAGGGCTGGAGCCAGGAGGCAGCAGAAGTGGTTGGGTACCACAGACCAGAGGCAAAGGTGTTGGCATGACACTGGCCTGGCGCACAAGAGGATCCTCCCAGTGGGTGAAGCATACAGAGCAGTGTCGCATTCAGGATCCATACATGTCAACATCCTTCATGGGTGCAGCCTGTCTTTCTCCCTTCCAGGGACAGAGGGCAGGAGAGCTGGGTTAGCTCCCAATCCTGTTACCCAAGGATCAGGGTAAGGAGACAGGGCAGAGCACCTGGGAAAGCCCTAACCGAAAAGCAAAGGAAGCAAGGAGGACTTGGTGTTGCTGGAGCCCTGGGCAAATGGGAAATACCAGTCTCCACTTAAAGCAGGCCATGTGGGGACCAGGATGTGGGTATCAGAAAGGATCGGGATGGGGTACTGTAAGGAGCAGAACGGTAGGGGCAGTTTGAGGGGGGGAGGAAGTAACAGGCTTAAAAAAATACATTCCTAATGTGGGGGCAGCTTAGCAAAGCACTGCTTTCATGGGCAAAGTAGAGGTGACTGCTCCAACCCCAGAGCTGGGGAGGAGCCCACACATCAGCTCTCGCTGTGCAGTTGCCACCCAAGAATCAGCTGCTGCTGCTGACATGTACCATCTTTCCACTGCAGTGCTGGGTCGAGTGCTGGAGGTGACAGACCTGCCAGAGGGCATCACACGGACAGAGGCTGACAAGCTCTTCACCCAGCTCGCCATGGCTGGTGCCAAAATCCAGTGGCTCAAAGAGACTCAGGGGCGCCGTGGAGATGGAGGTGGCGGGGACAACAATGGGACTCCAGAGAACGGCAGGCACAGTGACCTTGCTGCCTTATACACCATCGTGGCCGTGTTCCCCAGCCCGCTGGCTGCCCAGAATGCCTCCCTCCGCCTCAACAACTCCCTCAGCCGCTTCAAGCTGCGTGTGGCCAAAAAGAACTACGACTTGCGGGTGCTGGAGCGTGCCAGCTCACAGTAGGGCTCACGCATGGGCACAGAGCACACTGGACTGCGGGCACTTCCCTCTGCCTTCTCTTTTCCTTTCTGCCCTCCCTTCCTCTCGCCCTCCTTCCTGGATATATTTATATGGACATAATTAAGAGATAAGAAATTGATTTTTTTTTTTTTATTATTATTATTTTTTGAGTGATGCCCATGCCCGCCCACCTTACCCTGTGTATATTGTTTTGTTAAGCACTGTGTTGAACCACACATACAGGTGTTGATTGGTATGTTCACTGCACATTTTATTTAATCTGATTATTATTTGGGGGGTATTTTTGGTTTTATTTTATTTGGGGGGTTGTTTTTAAATATAAAAAGAAAACTTGTCCATCACTTTAATGCTGCTTTCCCGTTCTCTGCCAGTACCAGTACTAGGGGCTGTCTGTGCTGCCTCTTCAGGGTGAGATGACAGCCAGGGAGCAGAAGGGGCATTCACAGAAGGATGTGTTCCTGCCCAGGTCCTGCCCCCATGCTTGGCATGCACAAGGGCTGCGAGCTTATGGCTTGGCAAGGCTGGGAGCTGAGACTGGGAGAGGAGCACTGAGCACTTTGACCTGGGGCTGGTCCCCCCCATCAGATATTCATAGCCTCTTTTCCCAGCTGCTGGCCCCATGCAGCTGTGCAATGGCAAGAACGGGGTCTCAGGGTGTCCCCAGCTATATCCCCTGCCAGGAAGCAACCTATTCCTCCTGATTACATGGGAGCATCAGCCCTTGAGCTGATAGGTGCAGGTATGACTGTGTCCTCCTGCCCTGTGGGTACAGAAGTTGGGCTGGCACCACCCTCACCATGGCATTGCACACAGCAGCTGGAGCCTCCTGCAGCAGCTGGATGCTACCTTCAAGAGCAGGTGCAATTGGAGAGGTAAGAGCTGCCTGGAAGGGGTGGGCTGCAACCCCAGGCTTGGTGCAAACTCCTGCCCCACTGCCACCCACAGCCTGGCAGGTACATAGGTCCGGGGACTCTGGCACTGGGGTGCCTGTCCGGCTCCAGGGACCTGGCACCCACTGCAGGGCAGCATGACAGCGATGGGGTCCCCAGCTCTCTCTTTCAGTGGAGAGCAGACCAGCAGGATTTGCTGGCAGAGGGTATGGGGCAGCTGCCCCACGAAAGACCCCACTGCTGCCACTCTTTCCTTTTCCCCTCCCAGCTGCACGGGCCTCAAATGCAAGCGCAAACGAGACATCATGGCTGGAGAACTTGGTGTGCCCCTGCTCTGCTGCTGCCCCATGCCAGGGGGTGGGTGGGCCTCTGGCACGCCCAGCAACCCACTAACGCAAATAGCCAGTGGCTCCTCTCCACCCCGCTCCCCTCCTGGCTCATGCATGGGCTCCAATTTCTCAGCGTCAGCCTCCGCCAGCGCTCAGCTGTCCATTCCCCTCTGGGCTGTCACTCCTGCTCTCCACGGGGACTGGGGCGGCTGCCCCCCTCCCTGCACACCCGGCACAGAGGGCTGGGGGCTCCGCAGGCAACAGGATCCCCAACGTCGGCCACCCTTTCCAGGGATTTTCATCGGAGGACAAGAGCTCCAAACACGGCGTAAGTGTGTTTCTGTGCGCGGCTCCCCCTCGTTGTGGCCGCTGATCCCCATGGGCCCGTGCTCCACCCACATTTCTGCAAGACCCCAGGAGTCTCTGCTTCTGCGGCACCCCTTGCCCCAGGACTCCCCAGCCCACATCGCTGTTTCCCTGATGGTCATCCTAGTCGGTTTCCATGAGGGTATGGGGGGGCCTCCTGTTAGGTATCACCAAAAATAGTCATGTCTGGGTAGGACTGTGGGGATGGTTGACAGTCAAAGGTGGAATCAGGCATGTTTTGGGGGATGCAGGAGCAGATCCTGCCCCCTTGGTAGCATGGGGCTTCTGTGGAGAAGAAAGCAGGGCTGCGTGGTGATGCCAGACAGTGTTTATAGGCATGCTTGTCCTAGGGGGCCAAGAGTGGCCCTATTTGCAGTTTAATCGTGAGATGGAGATGTCTAGACAGAGTAGACGCCCTAGACATGTCCAGGTAGCCCCGGGTCTGGCTCGCAGCACTGGGCACCATGTCCACCAAGCAAGCAGCAGCACTGCGCACGCTGGGCTGGGAGTCTGCCGCTCTCCAGCCTGCGCAGCAGGGCCCACTGGGTACCCCCGGGGCCCCGGGACGTCCCCGCAGCAGAACCGGCCCTTGCTGGGGCAGGAGCTGCAGGCAGGGTGGCAGGAGGTGGTGCTGCTGCTGGGGCAGCGGGAGGCACTGGCTCGGGAGATGCTTCCCATCCAGCAAGGTCTGGCTGTTTCTGCCTCCACCGGGCACCTGCAGTGGGAACAGCCCCAGCCAACATGACGTCTCTCTTTTCCCCCTCATAGCATGACAGAGAAGGAAGTGCCAGAGCCACCAGCTTCACCTGCTTCAGGTGGGAAACCCAAGAGCCGGGTAAGTGGGTGTCCACAGGGCAGCTTGGGTGGGTGGGGGAAGCCACCTTTCTAGCATCATCTCTGCCTCAGCCCCAGGAGTCTTTGTGGGGCCAGGGATGCCTGGTGGGATCCTGATCCGGCAGGGCCCTGGGTGGCCATTTCCCAGCCTGGCTTTTCCCCAGGGTGCTCACATCCACATGGTAGCCACAGTTTCTCCCTTTGTGGGGACCTCACTGGGGGTTGGGACAAGGGTCCCTGCCCTCACAGCATTTCTGCCCCAGGATGCCTGGGGTCTCCTCCCACTTGGGGAATAAGGAGTCTCTAGGTCAGAGCAAAGGGGCAGGGAGCCAGGCATCAGCTTCCCTGGATGCCTGCCTGCCTCACCCCACCAGCCTGCCGTGTGCAATACATCCTTTCCTGCCCCAGCAGCTACAGAAACTGAAGCAACTTTTCCAGCGAAAGCCCAAGGAGGAGACAGCGCCAGAGCCGCAGCCCAATGGGGAGCTGGTCAGCCCCTCAGGGGGACCCATTTACTACATCTATGAGGAGGAGGAAGAGGAGGAGGAGGAAGAGGAGCCTGAGCCCCCTCCTGAGCCCCAGAAACTTGTCAATGATAAACCCCACAAGTTCAAAGATCATTACTTCAAAAAGCCCAAGTTCTGTGATGTTTGTGCCCGCATGATTGTCCGTGAGTCCTGAGGGTGCTGGGGCTGGGGGCCATGGTCAGGGCAAGGGCTGGGGGCCAAGGCTGGTGAGGGCTCCAGCCCAGCTGTCCCCACAGCTGCAGTGTCACATTGCCTCTCCTTTCCACCCCTCCGCCCACCCCCCCACCGCCAGTCAACAACAAATTTGGCCTGAGGTGCAAGAACTGCAAAACCAACATCCACCACCACTGCCAGTCCTACGTGGAGATGCAGCGCTGCTTTGGCAAAATCGTGAGTGTTCCCGCCAGCCCCGGGCTTGGGGCACCTCCTTGCAGGGAAGACCAAAGCACCGTGGCAGGGGCGGCTGGCTCGGTCCCTGCGGGCATGACCCAGGGGCCATGACCCACCTCTCTTCCTGGCCCTGAGTGGGGGGACCCAGGCATTGCCCCCCTGCTGTGTGTGGTCACCCTGTGGGTCCCCAGCATCCACCTGCTCCCCTCTCAGCTCTCACAGGAGAGCCCAGAGGTCTGGGTGATGGTTGATGCTCTGACCTCCTCTTTTTTTCCAGCCCCCAGGGTTTCGCCGGGCGTACAGCTCGCCTCTCTACAGTGACCAGCAATACGCCTGTGTCAAGGAGCTTCTCTGTAAGTATTGTCCCCATGCCAGGGTGCCCCATCTCCTCGCGTCCTGTAGCTGAACCCATCTTGCTGTCCCTGTGTCCCAGCAGCAGCCAACAGGAGCGACCCCGTGTTCGAGACCCTGAGAACAGGCGTCATTATGGCCAACAAGGAGCGCAAAAAAGGGCAGGATGACAAGAAAAACGTGAGTGCGGTGTGAGCCTGTCACTCCAAATGCCCAGGGTCCTGGCAGCACAGCCTGCGTCCCATTGCACCCCCCACCTCCCTGCCCACTCTGCACCCCCTGACAGCTCTCTGTCTGTGCCTTGCAGCCTTTGGCTGCTATGATGGATGAGGAACCAGAGGCCACGAAGCCAGAAGGGGGCAAAACCGAGGGCGGTGAGTGTTGCGACTGAAGCAGGGTTGGCTGCCTGTGAGGGCCAAGGAACTGGGGGGGGGGGGGGGGGCTGAGCTCCAGCCATGAGCATGAGGCAGGGAGAGAGCCTGATGGGGAGACTGTACTTGGGGGGCCTACCAGAGGGGGGTTTGCCCTGCAGAAAGGGGGTTTTCAGTTCAGGTCTCCACGCTGGGGCACTCTCTGCTTTCCCTTGTTGACCTGGGCACGTGAGATCCTTGGGAGGAGGCTGGTCCCAGGGCAGGGAGGCAGCGCCAGGAGAGATGCAAGCTCCCTCCTCCCATTTCCAGGCACCTCCGAAGGGGACAAGAAGACTGAGAAGAGCCCAACAGATGACAAGGTAGCCATCATCCTCACCCTACACCACAAAGGCCCCTGGCCTTGGAGCAGCGTGGGCAGAGGCTGCAGGGATCTCCCCGCTGGGCTCCCTGGGGCTGTGCTCAGCCTCTCTGGGGCCCTGAACCCCTCTCCTCCTTCCCCAGAACAAGAAGCCACAGCCAGGGATTCGTGGTGGCTATCTGCAGTCTCACTATTTTGTGGCACTTTATCGCTTCAAAGCCCTGGAGAAAGATGACCTGGATTTCCCGTAAGTTCCCAGCCATGTAGTGGGCACAGGGGTGATGAGGGGAAGGATGTGGTGTGTCCAGTGGGGAGGGGGAGAAGTCTTCACCTCAACAATGAGGCTGTCAACCAGGAGGGGTTTGTGAATGAATGAAGGCAGAAATTGGAGCCATGCTGGCTGTAGTTTGGGTTTTGTGGCTTTTCTGCCTGCCCCAAGGGCCTACACATTGAGCAGGGGCCCTGGCTGTCACTGAGCCAGTTCTCCCAGCTGCCAGGTTTTGGGCACAAGCCTCATTTCCAAGGCTACTGGTGTTTGTCTTGATGCAGTTCCACTGACTTCTTGTGCCACAGACTTGAGGCTGAGCGGCTTACATACAGGACCTGTCTGTCCATGAGCCCATGGGCTGTGTGCATTCTTTGACCTCCCCTGACACAGGGCTCTAGGAGCTGGTGCTGTGGGAAGAGCAATTTTCCTTGCCAACCTCAGGGTCTCCCATGGCAGGGAGTCCCTGCCCCCCCTCACACTGAGCCCTTTCTTCCCTTCACAGGCCGGGGGAGAAGATCACGGTGGTTGATGACTCCAATGAGGAGTGGTGGCGGGTAAGGCTGGTGTCCTGCAAGCACAGAGGGGAAAGATGCAGAGCTTAAAGCAAAAGGAGAGGTCAGCTGGGAAGGCAAATTGCACTCTGAGGGTGACACAGCCCCCTAAATCTGCTGTGTCTTCATGCCAACCCACAACCTGCAAGGTGTTTGTCATGGGGGAAGCTGGGAGTCATACAGGTTGGCTCCAACCCCCACCTCGCACCCATCCACTGACTTCTTTCAGGGGAAGATCGGTGAAAAAATTGGCTACTTCCCTCCAAACTTCATCATCCGGGTACGGGCAGGCGAGCGGGTGCACAAGGTGACACGCTCCTTTGTGGGCAACCGGGAGATTGGGCAGATCACGCTCAAGAAGGATCAGGTGAGATGGGATAACGTGGTCACAGCCCATGGTCCTTCAGCCCCCACCTGTGTCTCTTCCCCAGCTTCCCTCCAGGTCCCAAGTGATCGCAGCTGCCCTGGCCTGCATTACCTTCCCCACGCTGCCCACCTCCCCCAGCCCCTTGGACAAGACCCACTCTGCCCAGCCCCCCCGCCCCCCATGGGGGTTGCTGCCTTCCCCCTGTTCTGTGGGGCCCTGGGAATCTCACCTGCACCCCTCTCACCCCCAGATCGTGGTGCAGAAGGGTGAGGAGGTGAACGGTTACGTGAAAGTCTACACCGGCCGCAAAGTGGGGCTCTTCCCTGTGGACTTCCTGCAGGAGATCTGAGTGGGGCAGCGTCCCAGGGCCCCCCAGCCGGGAGGACAGATGGACCCTGGCTACAGGGAGCTGAGCCTGAGCCAGGCAGGGATGGGGATGGGGATGGGGACAGGGATGGCAGGCACCCCCATCCCTGCTGCCTGCAGCAATGGGGTCTCCGCTGGGGACTGTCTCTGCCCAGGCCAGAGCAGGCCAGGAGTGTGGGAGGCGTCTCTCAGGCTGATTCCCCTGCGGGGTTTTTGGTGCCTTCAGAGACACTGGGTGCAAGGAGGGGCCACCCCCAGGCTCGCTTTGGAGGCTACCCTGTCCCCCCTGCCTGAGTGGTGGGTGCTGGGTGCCTCGGCGGTGTCGGTGCAGTCCTGTCCCATTCCTCTGGGCTGTGTAATCCTGTGTTTTAGCAATACATGTCTGCTCCCCAACCCTGAGCTCTCCCTGGTTTGCATTTGCTGGCAGGGGCGGGGGGGGCTGACCGTGGGGCTACCGCGGACCGGGCCAGGAGGCTGCGCGGGTGCTTTCCCGCTTCGTGTGACAGACACCCTGTGCAGCACACGCCCGCGCCTCACCCGTGGGTGCGTGTACGACCCCCCTCCCCAACACGGCACCCCCACCCCCGCGTAGGGCTTCCACAGCCGAAGGCCGACCGGGTCTCAGCCGGGGCACGGGCGGCGTGAGGGGAAGGGGCCCGGACCGCCCCCCCCC